AGTCCGTTCAGACCATTTCAAACCTTTGTCCTAGGTGTGCTTTGAATCCACGTGACACAGCTGTGCATGACCCAACTTTCTGACGCAACTTCTGGTGTGTGATTTCGCCACACTCGATTCAGAAGGCATGCACTTATAGGAAAGGCGTTTCCAGACGTGTGATGGAAGTGACAGTATGCAAAAAATGAAACTGACCCCCCCAGCCTTTGTCTAAAGCCATACCAGAGCGATTACAACAAACATTGTGAGGCTGTTTGGTGAGAGACTCATTATTAAACGAAACAATGTGATGCCTTAATGAACACAAAAATGTCATGGTATACATACCGAGTCGGTTCACTTCTTAGCCCTGCGGTTAGTTGTTCTTATATCTGCTTTTATTACCCATAATCCTTTTGAGATGGGAGACGTGCATCGAACAATGTAGGCCAAAAATGTCACAATCAGGCAGTAAAGATAGACAATTAGACTATGAGACTCACACTTCATTCAAATACTTAATAAGTAATTTGTCAAACAAATGTTGTTGTGTTCTGCTAAAAATACATTGCTAAAAAAATATCCTTGAATCAAACAATTATTTTCAGTGGAGGAATATCCATAATATATTATTTCAACTTGGGTTGAGGGTTGAGTATTGTGGGGTGAAACAACCAAACGTCTTTGTCACGTTAGACAGGGACAGACCCATTCGCGATCAGTAATCAGAACACAGCGGATGAGGGTAGATGTGAGCATGATGTGGACCCAGCCTTGTGAGTCTGTCCGACTATTCCTCAGTTATGTGCAAGGATTCTCTTAATTACTCTTCCACATTCTTTGATCTCTGGCAGCTGTAAACAAGGTTGAGCGTGCCTTTCGTCTGTGTCACTTCACAATGGAACTCAGATGGTTTACATGGCCAAGCGTTCCAGCCAAGACAGCGGCGGGGAAACACTCTGCCGCTTCTCAGAAGGCATCACCGTGTTCTCTTCCTTTTACTTACTTAGTTCCTTTTGCTTTGCTACGTTTGACAGGAGCGACGTAAGAGAAACGAGACCGAAAGCAGCGCTCTCCTTTTCATTATGGCCATTAGCCATTTTTTGCTCTTTCCGGTGAATTGAAACAGAACGTGGTTTCCGATAGCAGTAACATCACGCCGGGAGGAAGACGGAAACCGAGGATAAGGAGCCTTGAAAAGCTGCAGCACGATGATTTCAGCAAAATGCTAAAAGATGTCTGAGGCAAAGTTTGTGTCTGTTTCCGGCAGAGAAAACAGAATACACCAAAAAAAAAAAACAAAAACAAAACAAAAATGAGGAGTAAGACGGCAGAATAGGTGTGTGACAGTCAGGGAACTGTTTGGGGATGTCACACACACACACACACACACACACACACACAGTACAGAAAGAAGCCCACGTATGAGTCAGTCAGAAAATAGGCCTAACTGGTCTAACTGGGTCGTACCAGCAAAATGATTAATGTTATGTGTAACAAAGCAGCCAAAATCGGTGCCTAATAAAACACGGCAGGTACCACATCCCTTCATACGTTATGGAAACAATGGCACCCAGGCACGTGCACTGGTACTGTAGGCCTGACACCATAACGGGGGAAAATATTCATGACTGTAGTTCACACCTCTAGTAATGCGGTTGCAGCAGTTCGACATGTTCTCAGAAGGGCCCTAATTTGGAAATCCACTCAAATTTGGCAATTTCGGGTTTTCACATAACATTTCACCGACAGAGAGTGATTATTTATTCAGGTGAATACTGTCTATTTTTATACAGCTCTGTCATTGCCCCAAAGCACTTAAACAGCATGCGAGACACATTTAACCTTAATGTTATATGGTGGTGGACTGTGTGTAAATATCAGAAGACAACCAAGGAACTGGAAACAAAAACATCCCAAGTTGGTTAAAGGAGAGAATTGGAATTTTCCGTTTCATTTGCAGTGTGGGGATCTGCACTCATCCACTCTGTTTTTAATATCAGCCAGAATAAATGGATTACTTATCAATAATATCATAAGAACATAAGGACATAAGAAATTTACAAACGAGAGGAGACCATTCAGCCCATCATGCTCATTTGGGGAGAACTTAACTAATAGATCAGAGTTGTTAAAATCTTATCTAGGTCTGATTTAAAGGAACCAGGGTTTTAGCTTCCGCTACACTAGCAGGAAGACTATTCCATACTCTAACTACACGCTGTGTAAAGAAGAGCGTCCTCAAATTCGTTTTAAAATGTTCTCCCGCTAATTTCCACTTATGGCCATGAGTTCGAGTATTTAAACTAATATTGAAATAGCCATTTGGCTGAACAGCATCCAGACCTGTTAAAATCTTATATACCTGGATCATGTCCCCCCTTAGTCTCCTTTGCTTGAGGCTAAACAGATTCAGCTCAACTAACCTCTCCTCATTAGACCAGATTAGGAACAATACTGGTCCTAAAATTGAACCCTGCAGTACCCCACTATGAAGGCAGGCCCACTGTGACATTGTGCCTCTAATAACTACTCACTGCTTCCTCAAAGAACTCAAGTAAATTCGTTAAACAGGATCTACCTCTCCTAAATCCATGTTGGCTATCCCTCAGAATGTTATTTACATCCAGGTAATCTACCATTTTCACTTTGAGTATAGCTTCCATTATTTTTCCAGTAATGCTAGTTAAACTGATTGGCCTGTAGTTTGCTGGATTACTTCTATCCCCTTTTTTGAATATGGGTGTTATATTAGCATGCTTCCAATCTGATGGTACCACACCCGCAGATAACGATTTCTAGAATATTAAAGTTAAAGGTTGGCTAATAATATCGCTCATCTCTTTTAAAACTATAGGTAAGATGCCATCAGGGCTCTGCGATTTATTTATTTTGAATTTAGCTAGGCTTAGTACCACATCAGCCTCAGTTATACATATATTGGTCAAAGACGACGCTGTATTCGTACAAATTGGTGGTAAGTTACTTGTGTTCTCTATTGTGAACACCCGTGTAAAATAATCATTAAACTCATTTACTATATCAATTTCATTTTCAATTATAAGGCCCTTACTATCCTGCAAATTAGTGATTTCAGCTTTTAGAGTTCTTTTGGAGTTAAAATATTTATTGTCATCCTTAGCCTCCAATGCAGTTTTTCTTTCTACATCCCTCTTAAAGAGTCTAATGTTATTTCTTAACTCAATCTGTAGACTTAGATACTCCTGCTTATTTTTGAAATCATTAGTTAATTTCCATTTGTGGAAGAGAGCCCTTTTCCTCCTGACTTTATTAATTTCCTTAGTAAACCACCTTGGTTGTAGTTTCCTGGATTTAGTTTGCTGGAAACAAGTATGAAGTCCTCTTGCACTTGCAACAATATGCTTTTTAAAAATCCCCATGCCTCTTGAACCGTTTTGCTATTTAACTCCATCCAGTTTACAGTTTCTAGTTTCAGTCTCATACCATTAAAGTTAGCCTTCCTAACATTGTGTACTTTTATTTTGGACTTTGCTCTTCGGACACTAAAATTAACCTCTAATTTAGCCATGCTATGATCCAATGGTTCTAAAACCTCCAATTTTCCAATCCTACCCTGGTTATTAGAGAAAACAAGATCAAGAAGGGCTTCTCCCCTGGTAGGGGTATTAACAAACTGAGTAAAAAACAATCCTGTACTAATTCCACCATCTTCCAACTTCCTTTATAGAAGAGCTAGAAACTATCCTGCAATAGATGATAACGATTTTGAGGAGACTTTATTCATAGATTTACAGGAAACAAACAGGAATGAAAAAGGCCTCCTGGTAGTGTCAGACAGTGAGAATAGACAAGAAGTGAAATGTTTCATTTGGATATACGAGTCAGTATGTGGAAATTCCCCTTAAGTCTCTGATTCCAGATAGCGACGAAAGCTACTTTTCTCCGTATGTAATTTCCTCGGTGTTCCTACAAGCCGATAAACCTACCTTACTGTCATGTTTCAACCCTGCTCACAAATATGTTCAGCCCTGTAATTTGCCAGAAGTGAACAAATATATTATACTACACGATACGTTTTTTTCGTTCAACCCAACGTCCTGCTGGTGTGGGCTGCCATATAAAAACGTTATTTTACAGCCTTACCCCCAGGGCCATCCTACATATTAATCAGTAAAATAATTATATACACAACAAATTACTTATTTAAACGTAGTCAGTTTATTCTCAAACCAAATGACGTTGTAATACAGTAAGCTAAACATGTAAACTGCTGGAAAGACAAAAAAAGTTGCTATTTTACATTTTTCAGTCCTAAATATAAGGATCAAATAGTATGGAACAAAATATATTTGCAGATATATTACATTTCTGTTTCATGCCAGCTTTCTAAAAGTCTGTTGTCTAAAAGGACTACGAAGACTTAACTTTTTGATAGCCATGGCGAAACTAATTTCATTTGGACGCCGAGCCCGTAAATTCAAACTTAACCATGAATATTTTAAGACGAGGAGGTCGAAGTAGACCATGGAAAAAGTGTAACCATTAAAGTCATTTTGCAAATGACTTTGCCACGCGTGACTTAAGCAGGAAAGGGGTTACTTATAAGTGCACGTGTTAGTTTTCAATTTTTAAAAATCTCTTTTAATTTAAATGAATGTCACGCAAAGTTAAAAAAAAAATCGCCAAGACTCAGGGAAAGACCACTTCCATTCTGTTACCCCTGGCAGCCCTGTTCAAGTTCATGTTTCACAGTGTCCTTGGAGGACACGCCCATTCTTTGCAGCATTGCCAATCGGCAGCTGTGGATAGACGTCAGACCAATGAAAGATTACGGGGCTGAGTCACACGTGCTGTTGCTAGGGTCTGCTCCTATCACACTCATAGCCAATCAGGGCACGGTTCGTGACATATCAACATTATACAGTAAGCCCCACACACTTGGCTTTTTCATTGGCTAAGCAAAGTGTCCCCGTAACAATACCGCTTCGTGATTGGTTGAAACGCCTGTCACTTCGCAGTAGTTATTCGCAGAAAGCAGTACATATACATTTGGAGTCAAACAGATTCAGTGGATGGCAATTTATATTGCTCGCGCACGGTTTTAGTTAATTGTTTTCGCCTTTTGTTTTTTTTTTTTACCTTTTTATTTTCATTTTTGTATATAAGATTTTATTTTTTATATATATATTTTAATACACACAACAAGATGGAACTTAATTCTCTTTTAATTCTCCTGGAGGCTGCAGAATACTTGGAGAGGAGAGACAGAGGTATTTTATCCGCTAAACTAGTTAACTAGTTAGTTGGCTACTTATATATAGGAGAGCGTACTAAAATAAAGGTCAATGGGACAGCTATTAATACGAGATCATTATATAGCTTTAGCCACGGAGTGGGTATGATGTCACTTTGGATATGTTTAATTATTTTTTTATCACGTCAAATGTGTACGTACCAGCGGCCAGCTTTTGCTGGTAACCACGCACCTAGGATAAGGGCTTAACTGATGCGATCGGTGGTGCCAGCTGGTTAAATGCAGGGGCCGGGCACAGAGGGGCATAGGCGCCTACAGGTCCTTCCCGGCTGCCCCCTGTCCACTTGCATTTGTTTTCCATTTGCATTGACTGCATCCCACGTATGAAAACATCGTAACCGATCGGCGTGACAGTCTGCGTCGTCGATCGGCGGGACTGTCTGCACCGGCATCACCTGGATGTCTTTTCGCAGCCCATGGCTTTCTCTGCCTGGGACTAATGCTAAGCTCGGGCGTTCATACGATCGTCCGCCTGAGCCCCTGCAACGCCAGCCAGACCGTCATCTAGAGCAGATGCATTGTATACCACATGCTCCGGGGAGAGGAAAACAACAACAGATCTAATGATGCTCGTTTATTTATTTATTTTTTTGCTCTGTCACTAGAAGCAGAACACGGCTACGCGTCGGTCTTACCGTTCAATAGCGACTTTTCCGGCAAGAAAACAAAAGCCTCGGCACTTTCAAGAAAGGCGCAGAACAATAGGTAAATATGCACATGGATGATCGGTGTGTGTGTGTGTGTGTGTGCGAGAGAGTAGGAGCCCCCAGCCCTGCCCTGCCCTGCCGGCCGGGCGCCATGCCTCTCCCCTTGCAGGGCTTGGCTCTCTCCGGCTCTCCGCACAAACACTGCCACGCGTACAGCGTCCTCGCCTCCCTACCCGAAACCCTTCTTCGCTTTCACTCACTTTTTTCCACCCTCGACTCCCCCTCCAACCCCAGCTCCACACCCCACTCCCCCATCTCCCCCGTATTAAATAATGTCACGCCTCCGCTTTGTTTTCCTGCTTTTGCTGTAGCTGTGCAGAGCATGTGTACTGATTCATGTGCATCGGATGCGTGACATTTAAGCTCCGGTCCCGTTACGGTGTGATCGCAGTAAAGTGTCAGACGAGCCGCCTTGTACAGCTGGTTTTACATGCCTTGACATCCCTTTAAGTCCCGATCTGCGCGGCGGTTATCGTAAAGCCAGGGTGCCTCCCTGCCCCTCGATCGAAGCTGTACCCACACCCCCAAAAAAGTTGCATTTGCACCCTTTTCCTCTTTGTCTGTCTACGGCTTGTGCGTTCGTATGCCTGCTAGTCCCTGGGCAGTCTTTCTATGCAACCGCGTTTCTGTCGCTCCCCCCGGCCTGATCAGCGAAGTGCATTTTCACTTCGCACGTGTTTTTCGATATAGAACTTGTTTGGAGCTGTAAACTGTGATACAGTCCGCAGGCTGTAGCGCCAGGATCTGGCAGGGTGGTGGAGCGCACACAGAGAGGATATTAATAATAATAATAATAATAATAATAATAATAATAATATCATCAATAATAATAATAATAATAATAATAACAATAATAATAATAATAATAATAATAAACGTTTAAAGGTGGCAGCAATTTGCCCGGGATCGGAAAAAGAAAGAGGCAAAAATTAAATTAGGAAAAGCAGGGAGGGAGAAATTAGTCAAAACTGGGCCCCGTGCGGCGTCGGACGGAAAGGAGAAAAACAGGCAAAAAAACGCGTTAAAATTCGTTAGGCGTCTCTTGGGTATTTTTGTTGCGGGGTGCAAGAGGTGCGTTTGCGTGCGTCCCGGGTTCCCAACCCCCCCCCTCCCCTTTTCCTGTCTGACATTCCAAGGTATTTGCATTTTCTTTCGTCACAGCTGGTATTCGTGATGTCCCCCCCACACACAGAACAAGAAGCACATGTCCCTGATTTGCACGTTCTTTGGATGCAAGCAGGCACTTCTCTAATCTTCGAATAACGAAAACACACGCGCGCACAAAATGCGTCTTTTCTATCCCAACTCGCGGTGACGTCGCCGCTGCTGATCTTGTTTGTGGCTTTAAAGCCTAAGCGTTAAAATAAATCTTGCAAGACCTACCCCCTTTCGAAAGGCCTCTAAATAAGATTAACGCCAGACACGCGTTTCTGTTTTGATTTCCTTATTGCCGACGATCTCCGCTTTTAGCTGTACGTGGGTCACTGTCCAGTTTAGTTGTGTGCGGACCTACACGAGGCACAGAGGTCATCGTCCGTCGCCCAGTGCAAAATTCTTACCGAAAATAGCCGTGGTACGACCTGGCGACAACATGGCTGTCACCTTAAGTGTGTATTTTTTTTCATGATTTTGTTTGTTTAAAGAATGCTTTTCAGTGTAATCCTCTCTGGAGCGGCCAGACCACACATGCACACACATACACACAGCGGCAGGTGCATGACTTTGCGCTCGCTTTGAGGATCTCTTTGCACCGACCCAGTTTGGCAGGACCCTGACGGGCGGGGTGGAGGGGTGCTGTTCCGCAGATGTCCCGGCTCAAACCCCTTGCCCGCTTTTCATCCTGTGTTCAGATTCGCCACCTGGTTCAGCTGCTGGCAGATTTAGGTCAGACGACGAGCCGAAGCCTTAAACGGCGTCGAAACGCAAACGTTGAATGTAAAATACAACGACGTTCATAAGCTATCCCAGATTCTTACACTTTATCGTTGCATGCGCAAAGACCAGAGCTGCAGTCAGTATTTACATGCAGCATCCTGTTACAGTTCCTCCTTCTTGTCTTGCTCTTGGGGGTTGTCTGGTGGACCCAACTCGTTTGGCGTCTTCCTCAGTGCTGTACAGCCGCCTGGTGCCCAGCGTCTCGCCCGCCCTGCTCTGCAGGCCCGTGGCCTCGCCTGCCCTCACCCTGGCGCCGGGCACGGGCCCTGGGAGCGCTTTCTTGGCTGTTTGCCATGCGGTATCCGCTGGTCGCAGCTGCTCGGCCCAGCAGCGCGTCGGCCCATGCAGTCCAAGGGCGCAGAACTGGGCCTGGGACACGTGTTGGCCGGAGCGCCGTTTTTCGCTGAGTTTTGGGGATGTATTTCTTTATTTGCCTCCTAGCATACCCCCCCCCCCCAGCATTTTGCCCCACCGCACTTCCTTCCAGCTTTGGCCCGTAACCAAAGTTCTGATCTTTTTCTGGCCTCCTCGTTCCCTGCATGCCGTCCCTCTGTTCCTCCGCCGCCGGTCGCATTCGTCACCAGCAGGAACGTGGTCGTATCTAACCCCCCCCCCCGCTAACCTCTCTCGCTGTTTTTTTCCTGTCTTTCCAGGTCATCACACAACGAGCTAGAGAAAACCAGGTGAGTACGCAAAGTAACCCCCCCCCCCCCATGCCCCCACTCCTACATGATCACCTGAGCCCCCCAGGACCAGGAACCCCTGACTATTCAAACCATAAGCTCCAGAGGTTTAAAAACACTGTTAGTACTGTGTTTTTGAACCTCTTACCAAAAACTAATGGCACACTCCACTGAGTGATGATTTGTGTCTGGTCTGAGTGCAGAGGAGCTACCCTTAGATTTTCATCTCTATTAAAGTTAAGATGTCTTACCGTGTATGGCACCGATTTCTTGTCACAAATATAATTATTCCATCCGGGCCACATTGAAATAGATCTAACTGACTGTACAATTAAATGTAGCTTAAAAAATAGGGTGAAAGGTTTTGGGAAACAAAAGTCAACATATCAGTGTCTGTATTACGGTAGATATTTTTTTCTTCCATTTTTTCCCCTGCCGCTTCGCGTGACGTGTCTTCATTTAAGGCCGTGTGGTACTTGGTGAGGAATTCAGACTTCAAAGGACCTGCGTCACTGTATTTTGACAGCGGCATGACTCTGAGGTTCTTTTTTTTTGTTCGCTCTAGCTCAGTCAGTGGTGCAACGTCTCTAAGACACACGTTGCCTTTCACTTGTGTTTCTGGCGAAAGCTTTCGACAGATTTCCCGATATGTGGGGCGGCCCTTTCCCACTGACGTGCGGGACGCGGAGGTTCGGTTTGCCCTTCGCTTCGTCCTGCGGTGCATTTCTGCCGGTTTCTCCTACCTTCTGCTTTTAGTGATGACCGTAGCCGGGCTTTGAAAGAGGAGGAAGAGGAGTATGCCTTTTCAAAACTTCTAATGCGGTTATTTGTTTGTTTTCTGGTACCAGGCAGACTTCAGCACCCAGATCCCAATGCGCCATCTTACCCCCTTAAAGGGTCAGAATTAAAAAAAAAAGTTTTGGGGCAAATGTGTGACTAATAGCTGTTAGTTGAACTCGTTTGGTCTCGCTCACGTTCCAGGGAAATTGTGGCTGAGGTTGTCTGTTTTTGTGAAAACGACTAGGGGTAGCAGCCTTTTTTTCACAACCGAATGAAAGGGTCGGGGTTTAGGGGCGGCAGCCTCCGGTGTGAGGAGCTGGCATATCAAGGTTCGAGTTCTGGCCAGCTCACGTGTCTGCTGACGCAAGGCCACGTGTGTCGGGATCACGTGCATCCGAGTGGAGTGTGACTGTGCCGGCTTTGGGAGACGTGTTCTGGCCCGCGGCGGAGAGGGAGAGCCCGCTGTCGTCTCTCTGGTGATGCCCGGCATGGGTCGATGTGACGTCAGCCCCTCTGGCTTCCATGGTGTGGCCGGGCGATTTCCGGAAGCTTTTGAGAAGTGCGTTTCGTGTAAAGTGGCGTGGCCCTCGTTTCCCCACCCATTTTATTGCAGTTTCATGTGAGCCGTTTGCCAGTTTTGGCTAGCAGGTTATGACAACGATTGCTTCTCTTGCGATGGATTTCCTGAGTGTTTCGTTCGACGAGCCTCCCCCCCCCACCTTCATTGGAAAGGCGTTGCAGGACTGTAACTAGCACAATATTTTGTGAAACTACTTTGGCGTTGATGACACGCTTGGTTTTGATTTCTTGGAGGACTGTTGGCCTCCCGGCCTACTGCGAAAGCTGCTTTTAAAGACAGGAGGTGAAGACGGTTAGATCGCAGCCTGAGGGAGGGAGGCGGCATCTCCCGGGCTTGAGGGGCAGCCAGGGAATGTGGGCAGGGCAGTTGGGCCACGTCTATGGGGCGAGGATGCTTGTGCCTGACCTTGACTATGGTGTTTGAGCCTGGATTTCTAAGGCCACTAGGAGAATTCGGCAGTCCTTTGCTCGAGGTCCTTTCCGGGTTGGCTGTCACTAATTACCCACCTGGAGTCCATGTTGTGTGAGGAGCTCTGTTTTCGGCTGTGGACCTTGATGAAGTCAATAGGCCGAAGGCTACCTGCTCAGGCCTGTAATTAAACCTCAGATGGCCTCACCGGGGTGACGGTCTCCGCCCCATCAGACAGGTGTGTCATCCTCCATCCTTTGAGAGCCCCCTCCAGTCTGGGTCATGTGACATCATGGTCTAGCTCTAACTGTCAGTTTTAGCAGATGGAGCCCAAAGCTGCGGAGATTCGGTCCACTTTCAAGTATGTGGTCTGCTGTGTTTGTGAGTGCTGCCGTTCGGACTGCCACGTGCGCCCAAGCTGCTGTATGGGTGATGGCAGGTAGAGGTGGCGCCCAGGGTTCCTCTCCTACCCTCCAGGGTATAGAAGAGTCCTGCCTCTCCTTCCTCCACCCGAGTTTTACATTCCCGGCCGGGGGCTGTCCCGGCAGCTTTCTGGGGGTTGCTGGCTTGGTATTCTTCGGGCAGAGCGAGAGAAATGCGAAAGAGCTGTGCAGCTGAGGGTCCCCCCCTCCTACTTCTGTTGCAGAGGGGCTTACAGCCCCCCCCCCCCCCCCCGCCCCCACTGCACTGACTCAGCAACATGGAGGCCGTGTCTGTCCCGCTGCCCACTGGCTGTCAGCCGCCCTCCCTGCCAGAGTCATTTTTTAAAATTCCTTTATTTAAAAAAAAAAAAAAATCCTTCCTCCTGCGTCAGGGAGCCGCATGAAGTTCCTTGTTTGCTCCGAACAACAGGAAGTTGTTCAAAGTGAAGAAAAGAGTCTGGAGAAGGACACCAGCTTTCCTAAAACGGGGGGGGGGACATGGAGTCACAGAGCCAAGAGGCCACTGGGATTTTAACCCACAATGCTCTGGTGTTTATTTACTCAGCATACTGGCCCCGGCCCTAGGATTCAGCCGCGCAGGGAGCACGACCGGGGGTGTGTCGTGCTTACGGAAACCGGGCGTGTTCCCCCCCCCCGCACATGCATGACACCTGAGTCACGTCATCCAGTCCTTCCAGTGCCACGTGAAGTCGTACTCGTGCACTTCCCCAACAGCAGCTTTACTCTGTCACGCGACCACGTCTTATTTTCCCATTTTATTTTTAATAACAAATATAATTGGGGAGGGATGGAATTGTGGGGGGGGGGGTGGTCTGGAGGCCCATGGCCTCTGAAAAACAGGCAGATCCCCCCCGACTGCCCTAGGAACACCCAGTCTGCACTCTGTTGTGTATCCTAGCCTCAGAAAACACGCTCACCGCGTCACACTAGCGTGAACACACAGAGACATACACACACACAGCACATGAAAACACAGGCCGAACAGCTTCAACACGTACACAGAGCACATGGCTTCATACGCACAGAGATCATATGACTATACAAACACGCGCCGCGATCACATGACACCCATGGGGAAATGGGCAGGTCTGTTCCACACTCGCTGGAGGTGAATTCTTGTGTTACGGGTTTATTGTCTCTGGTGGATTTTTCATCATGATTCGGTGGAGGGCAGCCCCCTCCCGGTGTTGTGGGGGGGGGGGGGAAAGGGGCGCCATGTGTTAAGTGTGTGTTATGCCGCTTCCGCTTGTTAAATTCACGCTAGCCCCGTGACATACACATCGGCCAGGTAAACCAACAAAATAAATAAAAGTAATTTAACGGATCTTGTCACACATCTGTCAGCCACGAATGAGTCTCCTCGTATCTTCTACTTGTATGGCAGTCACTCTTGCCGTACTCACATACGCTGGGTTTTGTGTTTCCTTGATCAACAATCGGCACCACCCCCCCCACCACATTTTTTTCACATCTGGGGAGTCACCTGAATGGCTTCCTGTTCCAACTTGTCAGTGGGGATATCTTTAGGTTTTTGGCAAGCGACTCGATGCCGTTTGGGACGGTGTTTAACCGCCCCCACCCCCCATGCATGGGGAGGCGGGTATGTCTGCATTCCTGGGCTGTCATGTCAGAGGGCTGCCAGTCTTGGATATTACCCCGTGGGGGTGGGGGCAGAGCGGCCTCTCTGCCCCCAGGTTTTTGAATCACGCCAACCAGCTGACCCCATGGGTCAGAACAAACCAGATGGGTCTTCAGAGTGATCGGGGTTGTTCTGGCGCCCATTTGAGCTCAAAACAAAATGAAGTTAAAGAGCTCTACACGCGTTAAATTTGACCCCGATGCACTGTGCCTCTATGCCCTACCTCTAATGCCCCTTTGGAAATGGGCAGGGGGCTGTGTCGAGAGGCAGTTTAAGGGGCGCTGCTTTAGCGCTCTGACGGTGCAGTGAGGGTTGGGGGGTGTGTGATCTGCCCTTCCTGGCACACTGTGAGGAAGCGGGAAGTCACTGTGTGTCAGTGCCGCCTCTACCGGACTGCCATCTCTCCTCTTTAAAAAAAAAAAACAAAAAACCAAAAAATAAGAAATCGAAAGTGAAACTGGAGCGAGCTGAGGAGAGGTAAACACGAGAGATGTAGCATTTCCAAGGTGACGACGGCAGCGGTCATGCATGTGTGCGTGCGCATGCCACGGAGCGAGACCTGAGCTGAAGCCGTCTGGCCCAGGGGAGGGGGTGCACATGCACGGCCGTACATGCGCATGCTCGCCCACGGCACATGCCGGTGCCGTCCCGGGCCGGGCTGACATTTCTTATCTGCCTGGGATCACGAAGCCACCGACCACGCCGCACACCATGGCTGTCTGCTCGCTCAGACCTTAAACGCGTGGGGAGCAGCCTCAGACAGGCGCACCTGTGGGCCAGCGGGTGGAGCAGCGGTTAAGATGGATCTCATCGTGCTTGTGTATGTGGTGCTTGTTCGTCTTGTTTTTGGGTGGAGGGGGCGCATCCTCCGAGGCTACGAATGGTACTGCTGTAGAAGTTACCTAGAATTTTGGCTGGCATTCCAAACTTTCTTAATCTTCTCAGAAATCGCAGCCGTTGTTGGGGCTGCCTGGTGATGTATGGTGTCTCCAGCTGAGATCCTCACGTTTCACTCTTTCCACACCCGCATCGCCTATGTTCAGTGATGCGTGCAACTCCCTCCTCCTCCTTGGGTCGACAATTATCTTGGTTTTATCTGTATCGAGGGAGATATTGTTTTTATGACACCAGTCTGCCACATCCGTATGCCGTTGAAATTGTAAAGCGCGTACAGAGGGCGGCCGAGTGTAAGTTACTACTCTCCCCACCCGACTGCGTTTTAGCTTCAAGCTAAAACAAGGACGGGCACACAACAGCATGCTTTTGGAGGGGGGGGGCTTACAGTGGCTGCAGGGTGACCTCTTACCCAATGGAATGAGCCAGGGGGAGTGGTGTGGGGAGGGGCATCGAGGTACTGCTTTGCAGGGATGGTTCATGAGCACTGAACTCTTCCTCTCAGGGTCCGACAGCGTGGCTGGCATGCTGTTTGCGGGCGGGGGGGGGGGTGTCAGACTGGCTCTGAAAAGGAGCAGGCTCTGGTGTCTCTGCCTGGCTGTGGGACACAGAGAAAGGGCTGATTTGCATCTGTACACTGTGTTCTGCAGAAGCAGGGGGGTGGGGCTGTAAGTCTGGGGAAGGGGGTTGGGGAGGGGGTCGACACGGCTCGCAGACTGCCTGTAATCTGCGGCACACGTGCGAGGTCACCCAGCTGGGGCTGGCCAGCCCAGGTCCCAGGGTTCAAAGGTCAATTTCAGCAGGAAGCCGGCGACTCTGCCTGACCGAGGTCCCGCCTACAGTTTGTGGCAGGACTGGTGGGCAGCCCGTCCACTCGCTGGTGCCCGGAGGTCACGGCCGTCATTCCCCCCCCCCCCCCCCCCCCCCCGCGCAGGGCGCGGAACCAGGGTCCGCACGCCGCCTCTGACGGCATGTTCCCGGAACGAGCCGTCCCATCTGCCCCCTCTGAGTGTGCATTTCCAGCATGTTCTCCTCCACCCGCACCCGGCCTGCATCAGCTGGCCCCCTGAATGGCAACGCGTGAGAGTCCTAGCGGGACAGGACGGTGCAGCTGGGCGACGGGGAGAGAGGCGCCCCCCTGGGGCCGCCCCAGGCTTCACAGGGGTCTGTGTGTTGGAAGACGTAAATCATCCCGGCCTTAGTGACAGAGTAGCCCGGGGGGGGCTTCCTATTACTAAAAAACAAGAGGTCTATCCTTTTTTTATTGCATAGTTTGAACGCTGCACGTGAGAGGGATTGCCAGGCTGGGCGTACGGGTTTGTGCGAGGCTGGGAAAGTAATTACTGCGCCCCCCCCCCCAAAAAAAAAACACGAATACCTTCTTCCTGGCCAGTTTGCTTTCAGTCTCCCAGTTCCTCCTCTGGCTCCCCATTCAGCACCAGCCGATGCCAGGTCTGTGTGCCAGGGGGAGTCAGGAGTGCAGGTGGAAATAAACATGGGAAAAAAAAGCTGAGGGTGGGGTCACCCTCTGTCCATGTGACTGGCCCCACCCACCACAGCTGAATACACTGTCCTCAATGGGCCCTTGTTACTCTTCACTAAAAGAGCAACATTTCCAGCGGATTGCCCCCCCCCCCCCCCCCCCCCCCCCCCCCCCCCCCC